GGTTTGTTTTTTGAAATGTAGATGTCCGACATCTTTAGATGTCTGGAATCTCAGATATCCGAAATTTTAGATATATGGAATTTAAGATAGTCACGTTTATTTTATAGGAATATTTATAAAGATATCCGAGAATATTTGGATAATCGCGTTTGTTTGGCAGGATTTATTCATTGGAATATTGTAAATTTATGTAATGTTCTAAAAATGCTTTTACCGGTCATCAAATAATTTATATATTAAATTTACTATTATTTGAATTCATAAAAAAACTTACTTTTATTAATTTAATATTATATTTTTATGTCAATTTTAGTTTATCGACTCTTGAAAGAGCAACACAAATGAAAAATTGCACACTAGATTTGAATTAAAAATCAATTAAGATATTATACTATTGACTCATGTTTATTTTATATCTAAAAGTAGCATATAAATAAAATTGTAGTTAGACATTTATAATGAATTAATGCATACATTTATTTTTTAAATAAAATAAAATAAATGAGAAATAAATATTATTGATGAGAAAAATACTATAGAACAAAAATGACGAGTGATAAAATTGTCAAAAGAAATGCCCTCGACATGGGAATCTTATAAACTCATGTTACAGCCGTGCATCTAAAAGTGGTGAGATGTCTCCCGTATAGGCATCCTAAGATGTCCGGACATTTTTAAATATTTCGCTATCCAACATTCCTATCAAACAAACACAAAAATTTGGATGTCCATTGTTGGGAATGACAAATATTAAAACCTTTTGTTGTCTCACATCGAAAGAATAACCTTTGCGAAGTTGGTTTATAAGCGTGACTCAGTATTGRGATTATAAACTTGGTGTGAGACAAGCCAAGACCAAGGCCCACACGTGCGCCGTCGGGCTCGGGCCTGATTTTCCAAATTCAAGCAATTCAAAAGACAATGGGTGGCCAAAATAAATTTTTATTTTTTATTTAAAAAAAAATTCAATTCTATTTTGGGCTACCACGTCACTATAAAAAGCTCACTCTCCTTCCATTTCACATCATCCCATTCATCTCAATCTCCACTCAATTCCTTCACTTTTCCACCTCTTTCAACTAATTAGAGGTTGTGTTAATATTGGGAGCATACCGGCAGTAAAACGATTTAGCACCGAGGTCGTGCCGATTTTGCTTTCAAGGCAGTGATTCCGCCCACGGCACAACGTTTTTTACCTCCTGGTTCCTATTTTGTGTCCAACAGCATCCCATGAAAATCTCAAATAACAGCCCCTAAAATACATCCATATAAGTATCAATTTTTCAAAAAAAAATTTAAATATAAAAATTATATATGTTTTGTAATTCAATTAATTGAATATTAATTCCATTGTTTATTTAAGTTTAAATTTCAATTAAAAAAATTATAAAGTCGAGACAAACTTTTGATTATATTATTACAACTGTCCACTCGTAACGTTATAATAAAAGTTTTAAATCTATGTCTCATCATATCGTTATGCATTGCACGTATCATATTCTTTTGCATCACATCAATATTATCGTTAAATATGCCTTAATCAAAGGTTTATCAAGACTTTATCAAAAGTTAAAAAGATAAAATAAAAGAGCATCATGCATTAAACGTTACTAAAGAGGAAAAAAAAAGATGAAAAGTAAGAAAGAATGATTTTAAAAAAAATGTGATAGAAGGATTGAATTTGACAAAAGGCAGGGCTAAAAAGTATGGGAAAATGTGAAGAGAAAGTTGATTCTTTTAATTAAATTGAAAACTTTATACAAAAAGAATAGGTATTCAATTTTTGCTTATTACTATTAAACTTATGACAAGTAGGAGATATATATAATGATATTTTTTTATACTTTTTAAAAAATTAAAAGAAATCAAACTTTTATTGGTAGTTAGCACGAAGATATAAGTAATAATGACCACTGAGTACTTAAAGCTTGCGAGAGATTAAACTTAATCTTGAGCTAATTTGAGCTTTCTCATCTTTTAGACTTTATTGATATTTATGGGGTTCTATCTCAAAATCAGTTGGCAATGAGAGTAGATAATGTCTATTATAAATCCTTGTTAGGTCCATTTTCTTTTCAATGTGGGATCTTTAACAGACTTTCTCGTGTTTTTCGTGATCACTAATTTCTCTATCAATAGGATTCAAGACCAGGAATGCATGTCAATGAGTTAATTCTCAAAGAGTCAAGTCCTTGAACGGGACCTCGAGGTCTAACCCAAGAACCCCGACGCTTGATGCCTTAAGAAAGGTACGACCCAAGGACTAAGGCCTGCGGATCGGCTGGTCGGTAAAGGGCCGATGAGTGAGAGAGTCGCCTTGCCATGGCCCAACTAGTCGGCTCATCAAATTCAAGATCTAGTAATTTAAGGAATTAAAAAATAGAAGATATTCTAATGACTTTAGGTTTTCTCTTCTACAGATAGAGTGTAGGTACAGTTAAAAAAAAACATATTTCTTATTACGCTTCACATAAAATCGATTTTAAATCAAAGTATCGAAGCGTGTGTACTACCACATTTTTTGTTGTACAAGTTTAGACGAATCCATCAAAAACACCATTTAACTTTTAAGTAGTTTAACCTATGTATTACTTATTTAGGAATCATATGAATTTGTGAGGTAAAATTGAAAAAATATATATACAAAAGTCAAAGAAAAAAAAACTAATTTTGACCGAAAAAAATAATAACTTTTTAATTTCATGACTATAACTTATATAAATATTGCAATCTATACCTACTCTTTAATTTAAGTTAATTCGTCGTTAATTAAAAAAATTATGTAAATTTTTTTAAAAACTCACTCTTTTTAATGAAGATGAAGTTTTACGTGGTATTAAATTTGGTCCAGGCATAAAATCAACCATTTAATCTATTTTTTTAAAATCATATCAAATTCATACTAGACATATTAATTCATTAAATAAATATCGAAAATACTTATTTTTAACAAATTTTAAACAAAATTTTTTATTAAAAAGTAAAACTTCCAATACTTTTTAAATTTCAAGGTAAAATTTATAATTACTAAATTTACGGCACAATTCAATAAAATTAAAAATTTAAGATAAAAATTAGTTCACTTGGTCAAATTCACCATTATTTGTTATTATTATTTCTCCAAAAAAAATGATGAAATTGAAATGTTTGAATATTTTCCAGAATGGCAGTGTTTGCAGTTGCTGTGACGCAGTTAACATGACCTGCCGGTGACCCGCCAAAAAGTGAGGGTGTTAGAAATTGCAACGGCTACCTGCCTTCTCCATAATCGAGGACTTGTTTTTTCCCTTCGGGAAGAGGGAATTTTCGTCCTCCACTTACGAAATGACGAAATTGCCCCACTGTTTCTCTCCATGCCTTCTTTGTCTGTTACCGTTGGGGATAATGTTTTTTTCCCTTAATTATATCATTATTTTGTAAAAAAGTGATTTTTTAGAAATGCGTTGTTGGAATATTCTAATTATTCCTCCAGCACTTTCATGAATATTTTTTTCTTAAACTAATCAAATAAGAATTTGATCCATTTTTCTTTGAATGCTATTTGGTTTCATTTTACTCATTCTACTTTTAATATATTTGTGGTTTATATATTTTTAATTTTTATTTATTTTAGTCAAATTTTGTTATACTCTTAAAAAGTGATTATTTTAATCATTTTATTTTTTTTATCTGATTTATTTCGATCATGATTTTAGCGTGACATTTCCATAGAATTTTATATTAAATAAATTTTCATTACGTATTAAATTTGTCATAATATTTTGTAAATAGGAACTAGATTAGTCCCTTTAAAAATATATAGATTAAAATAAATATTTATAGATACAAGGACTAAATTGAACCAGAGTAAAAAATATATATATCAAAATGAAGTAAAATTAAAACTATAAAAACCAAAATAGTATTTAAAAACAAAATGTGGGTAATGATCACAAATAAGCTATGTAGTTAATATATAGTTTGAAAATTAATAGATGAAATTATTTGATTGTGCGTATGATTTGCATATCAAAGTAGTGACTTAAAATGAATTAATTTAATTAAGACATATAGCATATTGAAAAGTGTGTGATGTTGTAATTTGTTTGAATTTTTGTTGACTGAAACATTGGGGCCCACTTTATTATTCATTGAGATTGGAGGACTGTGGGAAATCAGAAGTTGAATGATGACCTGCACTATAAAACAATATGCACTAAGATATGAAATAATTATGGGCCTTTTATTAATTTATTGGATTGTGGGATTAACAAGTTTTTAACTAACCATCATGGGATGGCTCGAGTGGTCAATGAGGGCCTTTGTAAATAGTAAACCAAATATAGTAGGGTTAGGCGGTAGTCGAGGTGCGCGCAAGCTGGCATAATAATTATTCAGTATAATAATATTTAAACAAATGTATGTTAGGTATGTTTGGTAGGTACTTGTGTGTTCGCTAACATGAGCATACTTTACTTGATAAACGAACTCATTATCAGCCCAAATATAATGATTCGATTCTCCACCCCACAATTACCAAATACAAAAAAGAAAAAATATATATATTATTTGTTTAATTTATACGTCATAGGACACAAAATTAGTCAACATTTGTTTAATCGACATGCCACATTTTTATTTGCATAAATGATATTAACAACAAATATTTAATAGAAACATACTCTGAAATTCAAAGAGGAGAGATTTGGATTTTCTCATTTTAGCTTAAAATATTAATATCACCCAAAGGGGAAAATCTTCCTCCAACATAAAAGAAATGCAACAAATCCACTCTCTCTCCAAAGAGGCAAATCTTTCCCCAATTCACAAAGGCTAGAAGTAAAAAAGAGAGAAATTTGAGCGATGGGAAGAACAAAGAAAAAGGGCATTTTTTTTTTCCTTTTCCTTTTCCTTTAATGGATTAAATAACCAAAAAGTGGAAAGCAAGATCTAAAATTCAAGGGGTGACAGAAAAAGAAAAGCTTAGTGGAAAAAAGATTTCATCTTTTGATTATGTAATGCAAGAAGAAAAAAAACCCAAAAACCTTTCAGTTTCAGCGGCTCTCCCAAATTTGACCCTGTTGCAATCCCATTGGCCCTGAATCATCTCTTTCCGATTACAAAATTTGAAAGAAAAATGATTTTGATTCGTACTGAAAAATCCGAATCAGAGAGAAAATGACAAAGAAAGTGGGGCAGTTTTGTAGAGAGAGAGAGAGAGATTGAAGGGCTTTTTAGAGAGAAGCGCGCGTGTGGGTTTTTGAGAGAGAGAGAGGGGCAGCGATTCTGTTTTCACTCTTCTTCTTCTTCTTCTCCGTTCTTAAGCTTTCTGTGAAGTGGGTGTTGCTGGCCGGCGGCCATTGTAGTCCTTCTTCTTCTTCTTCTTCTTCTTGTTCTGGTTCTGGTTTTGGTTTTATCTCCTTCTGCAGTGCGGCGGAGAAACTGGCCGTGGATTTGTGATTTTGAGTGGGTTTTTGGAGATGGGTTCTGCTCGATTTAGCAGATGCAGGACCATGGAAGCTATCGTCGCCGTTCTATGCGTCTTGGGACTGATTTCTCTGTGCTCTGCGACGAGATTGGAACCAGACTCTCGCCAGAAGCTCGAGGTCCAAAAACATCTCCGGCGCTTGAACAAGCCCGCTGTCAAAACTATTGAGGTTCATTCTCTCTCTCTCTCTCTCTCTCTCTCTCTCTCTCTCTCTCCCTCTATTTTCTGTTCAAATGGGGTTTGATTTTAGTGGCTCTCGCTCTGTTTGGATTCTGGGAAAATGAGGGAAATGCGGGAAAATGTTTGGTTCCCTTCATTTTTTTTCCAGGAACTGGACGAGGATATGTATTCTACTTTCTTCTCTTTTCTATTCGAGTGGGGCTTGCAAGTGGCGCTCTGTTTGGTTTCTGGGAAAATGCGGGAAAATGTATGGTTTCATTCACTTTCTCAGGAACCAAACGAGTGTATGTATATATTCTACTTTCTTCCCTTCTCTATTCAAATGGGGTTTACTTCTAGTAGCGCTCTGTTTGGTTTCTGAGAAAATGTTTGGTTTCCTTCACTTTCTCAGGAACCAAACAAGGGTGGATATGGACATATTTTACTTTCTTCCCTATTCCCAACTTAGCATTTTCTCAGGAGCCAAACACCAAACGATGTTTTCTCCTTCTCACTTCACCAAATTAGGCTTTCACAGTTTATAGCAAAGAGAATTTTCTTAGTATTTATGTTCAATAATCTCTTTGATGTGTTGTTCTTATGTTTGTTCTAATGGTTGAACAGAGCCCAGATGGAGACCTAATTGACTGTGTTCACATGTCTCATCAGCCAGCTTTTGACCATCCTTTCCTCAAAGACCACAAAATCCAAGTATGTTCCAGTCATTACAACAGTTCATTACACCAAATTTCCCTCTCCCTTTTCTCTTCAATCCCACAAGTTTTCTCATGATTTCTTGTTTTGTTCTTCAGATGAGGCCAACTTACCATCCAGAAGGGCTGTTTGACGTGAACAAAGTAGAAGAGAAACCCATAGAAAAGCCAAATCCAATCAACCAACTGTGGCATATTAATGGAAAGTGCCCTGATGGCACCATCCCCATTAGAAGAACTAAACATGAGGATGTTCTAAGGGCAAGTTCAGTCAAAAGATATGGAAGAAAAAAGCATAGATCAGGCCCAATACCCCCTAGGTCTGCTGAGCCTGATCTCATCAACCAAAGTGGTCATCAGGTAATCATCACATTTCTCTTTCTTTCTCCATCTGTTTCTCTTCTTTTTCCACTTCTGATTTTTTCCTTTTTGGGCTTGTTTTTTTAGCATGCCATAGCCTATGTGGAAGGAGATAAATATTATGGAGCTAAAGCAACTATGAATGTGTGGGAACCTAGCATACAACAACCTAATGAGTTTAGCCTATCACAGCTTTGGATTTTGGGAGGTTCTTTTGGTGAAGATCTGAATAGCATTGAAGCTGGTTGGCAGGTACCATTGTCAAATGATTGAAATTGTAAAGGAATATGTCATTAATAACTTACCCCCATTGTTGTTGCTCTTCCATGGGAAAAACAGGTCAGTCCCGATCTCTATGGCGACAACAACACGAGACTCTTCACATACTGGACGGTGAGCTCTTGCAAAATATTCGATTGTTATTCATTTGTTTGCTTTGTCAAGATCAACGAAGGGTTTTTGTTTAATGAGGCGTTTTCATAGCTTCAATCTTCTTCCTCTTGGAATGTGTGTTTTCTTTCTTCAGAGTGATGCATATCAAGCTACAGGCTGCTACAACCTCCTCTGCTCAGGCTTTATTCAGATCAACAGCGAAATAGCGATGGGAGCGAGCATCTCTCCAGTCTCGGCATATCGAAATTCGCAATACGATATCAGTATACTTGTCTGGAAGGTAAAAGCCAAAAACCAGGCATCTTTATTTTTTCAAAATCATGATCATGAAGGTTTCTAAAACAAGGAGATAAATCCAATATCCATGAAAATGATAGTAGTACCAGGGAAAGAGATGGCATGTGGGGCATTAGATGATGGTTGTTGTCCCAATCCCAATTGAATCACTCTAGACATTTCAACTCCTTTGGCCATATCAATAAATTCCTGGCACCAATAAATGAGACATTGATGGTGAGGGGGAGGGGAATCTGAAAACAAGAGGCATTATTGTGGTTCTTATGCTGCTTAAGAGTCTCTTAGCCTTAACCATCACGGGTTGGCCTTTTCAGCGGAGGATAAACTGTGAACACAGAGACCGCCTAAATATTAGGGGTCATGTCCCATAGATTAGTCATGATGTACATAAGCTACTACCACCAAACAAGAATCTTTTTCACTCGAAACACTATTATACCTCATCATGGTGTGACCACCAGTATTAAACTAAACAAGTCATATCTCATATCTCGAATTTACTTAGTCGTGGTGTACATAAGTTGCTTCAAACCCACTAACCCCTACATACCAGAATATTTTTGCTGGAGACGCTAGTGTTGCACTTTAGAGATCATAGTAACTACATATAAATATTATAATGGGTTTATGTCCTTTATTAGCCAACATGAGCTTAACTTAACGATAATTGACACCTGTCTTTAACCAAAAAGTCACGAGTTCGATTCTCCCACCACTTGTAACTTGTAAGCTCCTTCAAACCTCTCCCCACCCCACCACCCCACATAACCAAGTCTCCTGCCCTCCCTAGTCGAGCTCGCAGATCCGAACCGACGATCACTTTCATCGACAAATACTGTTTGCATGAGATTGTTCTAAAGGGGATTTACTGGTTTGTGCAGGATCCAAAAGAGGGGCACTGGTGGATGCAATTTGGCAATGGGTATGTGATGGGGTACTGGCCCTCGTTTCTGTTCTCATACTTGGCAGACAGTGCCTCCATGATTGAGTGGGGAGGTGAAGTGGTGAACTCAGAGCCAAACGGGCAGCACACCTCCACTCAGATGGGCAGTGGGCACTTCCCAGAGGAAGGGTTTGGGAAAGCAAGCTATTTCAGGAACATTCAAGTGGTTGATGGATCCAACAACCTCAAACCCCCCAAAGGCATTGGCACCTTCACAGAGCAACCTGATTGCTATGATGTTCAAACTGGCAGCAATGGAGACTGGGGCCACTTCTTTTACTATGGAGGCCCTGGGAGAAACCCTAATTGCCAATAGAAATG